GGTTTTACTGTGGGAGAAGCAGTTGTGGGCTGGCTGCTAGGGCTTCCAGGTGATACTGTAGGGTTTGCACTGGTTGGAGCAGAGCTGGGATTGCCTGCTGTCACTGTAGGTGTAGAAGTTGAGGGACTGGCTGATGGACTCCCGGGAGTTACTGTAGGGGTTGAGGTTGCAGGACCAGTGGCAGGGCTACTCCCCAAGGCGAGAGAAGGAGTATGGGTAGGTGGAAGGCTTGGTGACGACATCCCCTGAAGATTGGCGGGGTTACTCTCGCTGTCTCTTCCAGGCACTTCATTATCAATCTCATTACCAATCTCGTCGGCCCCGCTCTGACCGCGGTCATTCTGGATTTCATTTACTGTCTCACTTATAGTCACAGTCCCTCCGCTGCCAGAGTCAATACCACTGCCAACTGAACCATCGTTCTCACTGGCAACTTCTCCGGGTCCTCCGCTGTCTGGACTTGTGTCTTCAGCCTCCAGAACTTTCTCTGAGGATTCAATGATACCTGGCAAGATCTCCTGACAGTCATTGGAGTTTGGGTTCTCCAAACAGATTCCCAAAGTCTCCACATCGACACCTGCATCATCAAGTACATTCTTGCAGAAGTCTGATTGTCCATTACCAACTGAAGATTCTTCAACACAATTTTCAATGGTTGAGAGCTCAGTGTTAACAAAGGGTGTACGAATAGTCCCATTGTTTGCTTCCACCAGCTGCAAAGCTTGACTAATGGTGGTAGCTCCAATTCTGCTAACGGGCTCAGACTGTGCATCAATCTCTCCCTCTGGAGTCACAGCTCGGGTGGTAGCAAAAACGACTGATGACTGGAAGCCATCGTCAGCATCTTCGGTCACATTTGTACCAACAATAGTGAGAGAGTCATTCTGCCCACCATTGCGCAAGGTGGTGTCAAGATTGTATCCAAAGGAAGCAGCAAAGAGAGGAAAGAATTCGGCCATGTCAAAGTTCCGGCTCCCAAAAATGTTCTTCAATTTTCTTTGGAGAGAGACATGTTGATACGTCGTCAGACGACAGGAAAGCGCCAGTCTTCTTCTTCCTCTTGAACTGGAATCTGGTCCATCGGGAAGCTCAAATAGTGGTTCATGGTCAGGACAACCAACACAGCCAACATGAGCCATCCAAGAGGTTGTGGTGACACTGCTGGCTACCAGCTCTCTATACTCTTCCAATGACGTGTCTGTGCGGTAGAGCCATTCTGCCAAAGGGTCGAGGTTTCCTTGGGGAATCTCACGTGACTGAGCAACCTGTGCCAGAGATGAATTGGGAAATTCTGTGTAGTTTCCAACCACAGAGCTGTTGGAGGCAGTGCTGTTTGTGGGAGTTGAGGAAAGAACAGCGCCATTCATCGGTGGTTCAGTTCCATTGGTAGTAGTATTGCCAAAGGGGGTGGTCATGTTTGTGCTGTTCAAACTGCCAGCAAATACTCCTGCATCAAGAAGATCTTCTTGTGGATCCCCAAAAAAACCTGGCAAGAAGATGCTGTGGGTACTGTTGGTGGTAAAGTTTCCCCAGTCGGTTTCCCAGTAGACAACCTCGGCAAAGTGTAATACACGGTAATATTGATCCAAACACATTCCCTGAAAAGAAGCAATAGTGTGAGCTCATTAGGCCAGCTATACAACCAATCGTTCAAATCACTACGGGGAATGATTCAACTGACTGACCGTAATCTCATTGTAGACGTCTCGAAAGAGAACCTCAAGTAGCTTCTTCTTGTGGGGATCAAACAGGGTATCCGGAGGAATTCCCATGATTTGAAGCTCAAGAAAGCCCGCCTTCAACAGGGACTGATCAGAGCATACAGGTGGTACAAAATCATCAACAATAAAAGGTAGTGGGGGAGGTACTGGCACTGGTGTTGGTGTTGTGACTCCACTGGATACTGCTGCTGCTGTCACCGCCGCTGATATCGCAAAATGAATACAAACCACATTAGTTTTTTTGGTGATTTTGAAAAATAGTGAGAATCTTCCTAGCTAGGATAGGCTTACCAATACTCACTGCCACTGCAGCTTGTGTTGCTGCTCCAGCACCGGCAGCTGCTCCAGCCATCCCAGCAACACCGGACAATCCTATGGCATAGAAAATCATTTTGCGGCATGAGCAATTAGAACCAATTTTGTCGAGAAAACGTGATACCAGCGTACCTCCAACTGCAGCTCCGGCTGCCCCTGCACTGGCTGCTCCAGAAGCGGACGCACTGGCTGCACCTTGTGCCTGATTTTATCCAGAGTTTGGAAAGAATGTAGATTTCCATGGGTTAGTATTGGAGGGCAGAAGCAGCAATAGCAACAAGCATGTAGACGTACTGCAGACGTAGCCATTTCGGTGACACCAGGAGGTGGACCAACACCTCCACCAGGAGGAGCTGGTCCGGCCATGCCTCCTCCCATGCCAGCTCCACCGCCACCTCCACCACCTCCTCCACCGCCGCCGCCACCTTGAGCAGCTGATTGCACAGATGTCCAATTTTGAGATAGTATGTTTGTGGCTCCTGGGTCGACAGCATCAATGAGTTCCTCAGCCAGATCTTCTGCTCCTACATCACCATCGTTATCGCCGCTACCACGTCCAATCTTTTTAAGGACCCAGGAATATATTTTTTCAAAGAGCCCAAAGAATTTCTGGAAGAGGTCATTTTGGATGTATCCAAGTAAGAATCCTAGGAATCCGTCACGTATAGCTTTCTCCCTCTCGGCATCCACATCAATGGAATCATCATCGCTAATTTTGGCAGAGTCGCTTGGGTCATCACGATCGTTGTCGTTCCAGTCATCGTCACCATCCTTTTCGGCTTCTTCATCAAGGTCTTCTTCTTCTTCCTCCTCGAAGCCGAGATCTATCTCGATGCTTACTGGCTTGGCATCTGGATCGCTAACCTCGGAGAACTGGACACTGTCAACATCGATTTCACTTGCCATGGTTGTCTTTCTTTAACGCTATGAGGTCGTCGTTTTGGTTTAGAGGGGACTATGGGGAGGATGGGTGGCAGCGGATCGAGGAGGCAGGAGGCACGAACGCGAGAGGGAAAAAGAATTTTGCTGCAAGAGTGCGTACGTTAAGGCCGAATACAGCAGAGCTGGCAACATTTGAAGATGTTGCTATAGATTCCGTCGATTAATCTACCTATACTCTAAGCCCCGATAACAAAGACGATGTTAGATCTACTTGTAGTTGTTGCTTCGCGTGAAGGCCGCAACCGGTTGATTGTCAGTTGGTATACCCATGCAAGCAGGATGGTGCATCAAATCCTTGGGAGGATTGACCGCCAACCATGGAGCTCAGACGGATCTCTAGCTCCCAGTTCCTACCCTGAGGCTGAGATCCTTGCTTCTGGATGGGATGCTTCTGCTCTTGCCAACAGTGATGGTGGTGATTCCACCCATCTCTGGAGTGAGCTTGATGCTGCCGGTCATCCAGTGGAGACCAAGATTGTAGGACCTGATGACCAAGTGATACGTATGCCGTATGCGTGCATGTCTAAGACCATCTTCTATGGAGAGATCTTTTGCCCAATGGACATGAGAACAGTCCCCATGATGAAGATATCCTCGCCAATCTTACCAACGATGTTGATACAGCAATTGCCTTCTTTGGCTTTGCTTATTACTATCAGGAAAACAACGACACCTTGAGTGCTGCTCTAAGTGAGAACGGGAAATGCGAAGACACGATAATCATCGTCCAACAATGGTCAAATACCTCAACAAAGTCCTACCTGTCGGAGCATTCCTCCATAAAACAAACCCCAAGTATTATGCAGGATGCCCATCATGCAACAACCCTTCAGAAACAAGGCACCATCTGATGGAATGCAGCAGCCCTGAAAGAATCAAATGGCGCGAGAAATGCTACAGTGCAGTCCTATAGCATATGTCCAGAAAAAGGACACCTCTCCAAAAATCCAGGGGCTTCTCCTATCAGGCCTCAAAGTATGTTTACATCACCAAAACCCAACAACAATCCAAGAAGATCCTTCATGGTACACACTGAAACAAGCACAAGATGCCATTGGATGGCATCATCTGTTAAAGGGGAGAATCTCTAAACAATTCAGTCAGGAACAAGACCGATATTTGAACATGAAAAAGACCGCAACCAAACGCAACAATGGACTCACATGGCTCACTGGACTCATTACATTATCTATAAAGAATGGTGGAAACTCTGGGACATGCGCAACCAAGACAGACATGGGCACGACATGAGAACAAGTCACAAGCAAAGAAAGCACAAGCAATCGACAACTCACTCAGTTCTACGAAGCATACCAGCAAGAAGTCCCGAACATTTGGAATGGCTATTCCAGATACCACTCGAATCGCCATGCAACTAATACACCAGTCATCATTCAATTTTTAACACATGGGAACCTGTGTTACAAGAGAGTCACTACACCACAGCCTGGAAACAGGATAGTCGGACATTCCTACCATCCCTTTTTCCTTACCCCTCCTACCCCCTCAAACTTCTTTACAACCCCAACTCTCTTCAAAAAAGAGCTCGTGATTTGTGTGAATCATGGCTCCGACCTCAGTGTACAAATCCTTAGATAGCTAACAGGCGTCGCACCCTCTCAGGAGGCCAGTGTGGCCGTGAGCAGACTTGACTGTGGGAAATACCCGGCCTGCTCGTGGGTAGTCCTCAAGCACATCTCGTCTGAATCCTTATTAGACGTTCAGTTTTTTTTTTTTTAAGTGAGAACGGGAAATGGTGCTATCGGATATGCTCCATGTTCTTACAATCACTGCATGGCCAGACTCATCTATGAACATCTACAATGACGAAGAGGCGAGATACGTTGGTCCCCATGGCCACCCCTGACTTGGCCGTGATAAAACTAGGCTCTCTGGGTAAGCAATGGAATTCTTGTATTGAAACTGTTTCGATGTCCCGTGTACATGTGGACGCACGAGAGCCACGACCACAGTTCATGCACTCTCAATACTGACATCGAAGCTCCATTGCGTCAATCAAATAAAATCAACACTGCAGCTGGCTACGTTTAGTCCTACACTAACGGGCAGAGTTCCTTTGTTGATGGCTCCGATTATAAATGTACTGTAGAGTGGATATATCTATCATGGCTGCATGTATTTAATCATGGCTGCAGATCGTTCTTTCGCAAGAATCGGTGAATTGTTGTGAATCTAATGTCGCTGTTCATGGTTTGTGTGTCGCTCTTCCTTGGTTTAGGCTGCATGGGTGCGTTTTTCTTCTTCATGCAGATACCATTGCTCCGAAATGTCGCCATTCTAGTTTCGCTCTTTTCTATTCTCAGGATGCGTCAAGAGGACTATTGTCCACAGCTTCCAACCCCCTTCTTATCGAACGCTTCCTCCTACGGTATATTCGAACGATCCGAGCCCCCATCGCTTTCGCAGGCAGTTTCGTTCGTTATCCTTCTCGTGCCTTGCTTGCTTGCTTACATTTACATGGCTGCAATTGCTTGCACTTCTTTTCGAATTTGTTGTGCCAAACTGCAGACGGGGATACCGATATCGTACGGCATGGTCTTGCGTCCCAGCGTAATGAGCTCGGAGGCTTCTCCGTCTTCATCCAACTCCACAAATACCTTGTCATCCCCATCGAGTGGATCCCCCAAAAAGGGCTGTTCAATCAAATGACCAATTTCTTCAATCCCCAACATGCAATACCCGGATGCCAACACAATAGGCAACACAAGCCATTTCGAAACGGTTCCAATCAATGCCAATGGCAGTGTTCCCAACCACAATGTCAAGAACCGACTGGTATGACGGGAATACGTCCATGGCACCGGCGTGCGCAGTATTTTTTCGCAACTCGACATTTTTTCCAACAACTTGTTAATTTCATTGGCACAATGATTGTGATGTGCTGCTTCAATCAAATTCCATTTGGCCGTTTTCGATTCGACTTCGGCTTGATGCAGTGTTTTTTGCAATTCCATACACAACAACATGGCCGGCCAGGCAGGTTGATGTTGATAATCCCGTTCGGGCAACCAATGTTGCGCGATATCGGGCAATTTGGCCGCACCGCCCAAACAGAGATGCATCAAACAGGCGGGATACGCCGCGAGTTGTTGCAAGAATTGTTCGGTCGCTTTGGGAGAATGCGCTGCAAAATGCGTCTTCATGACAACGGCCAAATTCCGGCAGGTCGCTTTGGTGCTGGTCCAGTGACCTCGGGCTTCCCAGAATCGTGCATATGCCGAATTGGTACGATACGATAGTAGTAACCCGAGTGACGATGCCAACAACGAGTGTCCCGTCATGGGAATGGTCAATTTGGGAAATTGTTCGTGCAAGAGTATCACAACCATCGCCGACAGCGATTGGAACAGCAAATGAAAACTGATGCGTCGCAAAATGAAACTCTTGGGGATCAATAGAAAATTGAGGAACCAATCGTTGCTCGAATATCGGTATCCCGCATCGACAGAAGGACGTCGCGAGGCAATGTCGTCCTTTTGAGGATGATCACTCTTATTGTCCAACGGTACCACGGGGGTACTTGGGTTGTGGCTAAATGTGCCAGGGCTAAAATTCTTGCTCGGTTTCAAGGGCTTGGTGGTAAAGCTGCCCGTCTTGGGAGATCCCGAACGCATCGAGCTCTCGGCCACTGTGGCGGTTGTGGCCAAAAATAGCAGCAGCAGCGCCGTCATTCGTTTCATGGTGAAAGTAGAGGATCTCATCTTGATTTGTACAGTAGCAACACTGAGTGCCTTGGTTGGCGATCGAAGGAAAGATAAAGTGAGAATTCTCACCAGATTGTTTGCCAGGGTAGTACTACCTAGCTATAGCCAGTAGGGCGAAACAAAAATGAGCGTCTTCCGCCAATGCTACGTTGTCTTTACGATGATAGATCCTTTCAATCAAGGAAAGAACTCTACAGCACCGAGTTTTGCTGACGCGACCTGC